CATAGTATTTGAGGTTGAATAAAGACATTAGTCCATCAAGTCCAACCTATTAGGATCTCATTCTAGGACTACCTGTACCCCTGTATATTACGGTCCCTTAAGAAATCGTCCAAAATTTTCTTGAACAATTCCACATTATTCGCTAAAATCACCGCCTGTGGCAGTGAGTTCCAGACCCTAACTGATCTTACTGTGAAGAACCCCCTTTGCCCCTTGTGCTGGAATTTTTTTCCCACCAATTTTAGGTGGTGGCTTAAAATTGGTGGCCTAAAATTGGTCACGTAGTAGCATTACCAGATCATATTATGAAAACAACTGCCTCCTATTTGCCATGAATAAAAAAACTGCTGGTGCCAAGCGTACCTTTTTGACATACTGTATAATCTAAGCAGCATGGTCTCTGACTATCAGGATAATTGTGGGTGTTCGCATCATTACCGACTACAGAGATAATGCACTTTTAAAGAACAAATATGAAAGCCACGATGTACATATGTACAGTAACTAATAGTTATAAAAGGTTCATATTACATTAACACTCATTGATTAGATTATTGATTATATTCAAAAGTATGTCTAAAATCTGATGATTGCTCAGTTTTTCTTTCAAAGTTCAACACAGTTTTTTACCTTTTTGTACATCAAAATATACCAACAACTATCAGACAAATTTAGGCTGGACAGGCGTTTTTATCAAGCATTGCATTTTCCATTTGCACATGTGCAAATTTTCTTTTCAAAATCTGCATACTCTATTTGAAAGCAGCTGCATGTATTTTTCATGAAAAATTGAGCTTTTGATAAGAAAAGATTGTATTTGACATGCTTTACCTGCCATTCAAATGCACCTCAATAGGTTTGGGGGATTTATTAAAACTGGAGCAGGCAGAATCTGGAGCAGTTACCCATGGCAACTAATCAGCTTCTAGGTTTCATTTTTTAAAATCTGAACTGAACAAACTGAAGAGGAAAGCTATTGGTTACTATGAGCAGCTGCTCCAGATCTTGTCTGCTCCAGTTTTGATAAATTCTCCCCACGGTGTCCAAACCAGTGCAGAGCAATGGAAAGCAGCAGTGGCGTCACTAGGGGGGTGAGGGGGTGGCCCTCACCTGGTGACACCATTGGAGGGGTTTTTGCATGTGGCCAGTTCCAAGCCTAATGCTATGACACGAGAAATACTCTATCTCTGCCAATGCCTATATCTTTGTTTACAAAGCCATGAACACAAAGACTTAAAAAGTAGCACAAAGGAAGAAAGATGAAAGATCACATATCATATGCCTATCACGCAGCCTTAAGTGATCTTCACGCTCGCTGCTGGAAGGAAATCCTAATGTGATAAAGACATATTTATATTACTTCTTTTTACATATGCCATCAAAATATTTTTTTTCTAATTTTCTGTTGTTTCCACGTCATTTACAGTAACGCCACATTAGCTGCACATGTACTCTATTAGTTTTCAGGGTCATGCAGTTATTGCATTCATCCATATAAATGCAAACAATTGTAGCAGATCCCCTGGGAGCAGACTTAATTTTTTATTATTACTTTTGTCTTACCTCAAACACTACACTGGAGACTTCTCTAGTGTTTTATAAGCCCACTGTAATATACCAAGCTAATGACATGCTGTGTTAAATATGAAGTGGCTAAGAAATGATTAATTTTAACAAGTACATTGGTCAGCTAGTAGGAAATGAATATACTGTACAGTATTCTGTACTGCCTTTGTTCTGTAGCAGCGCTGGGACAATTTCCAATATATTCTGCATTTTATAGTACAACTGCTCCACCCTCAGATAAGGCACAGAAATATCACACTAAAAAAAAAATCACATTTGCCATGTATGTATGGAAGCATAGCGCCCTCAACTGGTACTTCTTTTACACTGCAGTGCTGAGTTCTTTTTTAATAGCCAAAATCCTGGCACAAATATTGAATAGCCCCCTGTACAAATGGCCACAAATCTCTGATCAAGGTGTCATATATATTTTAAGTTTCAACTAAGTGTCTTTCAGTGCATTTTCATTCACTCCAAAAAAAAACGGATTTTTTTTTTTCATTATGTTGGAGCTATAGATAAACCTGTATTTTTTCAATATCCACAGATATTTAGATCTACCTAATAAATAAAAATACACCCATTAAGGGATTCACCTCAGAAAATTATATTTATGACAAATGAATTCTGATTAGTTGCTATGTATCACTGCACCCTGCAATTTTTTATAAAGAATATAGGGATGTCATCCATTATAAAGATCAAGAGCCTTGTTTAAGATGAATAAATATAAAAAATATATACAATAGGGATACTTTGTTAAACTCCTAATTGTGTTAACATGTTTATTAATGTCCGAGATGTACAGTTGAATTGATAATTGATATCTCTGTACCTAGTCCAATTGAGCTAATTTAATAAAGGATTTGAGAATGCTCACAGTAGAATGTGTAAATATTCACTACAGCTTGCCAATCATGTGCAGATGAAATATCTAAGTGGGAATTTGCTTTTACATGATTTGCCAAACTGAAGTGAATATTCACACAATGTATGGTGTATAGTCTCAACCCCTTTAGTAAATCACACAGCATATCTGTAAAGAGTCTGAACTCCTTTAGTAAACCAGCTTCAGTAAGTTGCAGTTTAAGCATTAACATAGTGGGTGTTACTAACACATGACAGCAATTAAAGGGTTAAACGGGTTTCCATCAAGGTAATTGTGTGGAAAATCACTAACACAGGCTCAACTGATTTGTGAGCTTTGCTTCATATGCAACACAAACTCACATGAAATACACTAATGCATAGCCAGAAAATGTGTTTATTACCAAACCCAAAAGCAGGAATTTCAAGCCAGGCTGGCACTGTTACATAGATAGTGAGGTTGAATAAAGACACAAGCCCTTCAAGCTCAACCAACAGAGAGAGAGAGAGAAAAAAAGAATAAATATGTTCATGTTACATAGTTTGTCAGGTTGAAAAAAGACACCTGTCCATCAGTTCAACCTATAGAGATATGAAAACAAAATGTAGATAATAGACAAAGTGATCGGAGGTTAAGATCCTTCTAAGCAAATGCCGAATTTGACAGCTCTGTCAGAGGACATGAATGATGCAGACACGCTGAAAAGATGAGTGATGTATTGACTGCGGCTACAGTATGAAAAAAAGAATATATTAATATATAAGGCAACTGTCACAGTTCTTCACACAGCCCCCCCCCCCTCCGAGTGCAGAGGAGATCAATAATCATTCTGATCTAGCAGGCACGGCATTTAGGTTAGGTTTGTGGATGGGGAATGAGTTATTTACTTGCAGTGGAGACCCCCCTCCTACTTGTCGGAATGTGGCAGCCAAATTTTCCGAGCTACCTTATTCTCTCAACTTGTGGATTTCTCAAGAGAGCTCATTGTGAGGTTGCATAGACTGGGGCTGCATTCCCTCTGATCCAGCACTTAAGAGAGAGCCCAACAGTTACAGTGAGAGTTGTCTATGGCCACTGGAGGAAAAGTAGAAGAGATATAGATCACTGCGAGGAGAACACTTGTTCATTGATAGAGGGATTGGGAAGCTGTTCATCCCGGAGGGAGGAGCTGAGCTCTAGCAGAACTGGAGAGGCCACCACCAGCAGCTAGCATCCCTACCATCCACCGTGCGCTGCCACACTTCTACTGAGGGACCACATCCCAAAAAATAAAAGGACCCGACCAAGGTGACAGGACATGAAGAGCATCCGATCTCACCTGAGGGCCTGATACAAAAAGCACCCAGAGCTCATTCGGTAAGCAATAGCCGGCATGTCATTTTCCCTGCTCTGCTGTGTGGTTGCTAAGGATGAATGGCTTGACTGCTTTTAGGAAAGTCCATAAGGCTCATACATGTCATGTCTGCAATAACTACCCAACACCTGCTGAGGGACAAGTCAGGAAAGACGAGGTGGTAAGGGCTTATGGATGAAAAAAGAAAGAAACAGCAGTCGCCTTTTTCTGCACCAGTGCTCATAAAACCTGGTAACAGAAAGAGGAATGTAATTGCCGGTAAGCTAGGTGGACGGTAACATGCGATCCCATCATACCTGTCCACAGTACAGTGACGCTGTCCTTTCAGCAAGAGGGTCTAAAACTGGGGGTGCTCAGTTGCAGATGCAATGTGAGATTTAAAACACATGTCTTAGAGCAAAAGACTGCAGCTGACCTTTGTGGAAGAGAAGCTGCATCCCTACTCATGGAAATGATAGCTGTGCTGCGATCATTTCTTTTTGTGTGTGTCTGTGTGTAGAGATACTGTACAGGCTACATGAGCCAGAGTTATTGCTGACTATGGGACAGGATGCAGTCTTGCGATGACATTGATTTAGATTTCGAGCGAGCGTGGAAACTGATTGCCCTTTAAAACAATGGTGCACTCAACAGTCATTGAGCGAAGCTTCAGCACCACCACCACCGTGGACAGCTCCTGATCCACTCAACTGCTAAAAGATGCCGCTAATTGCTGAGAAATGAAATCCTTGCGCTCCATAGACCTGCAGGTTAGGTCTTATTAAATGATAGCACAGGCAGTGTTAACCATATTGATCAGCTTGCTATAGCTGGTAGACTGCACTGGGGAACGGGTACAAAATTGCTCCTATAGTCTCTTCATAGCGCAGGTTCAAACAATGACACTGTCATCAATGTCATAATTGCAGGAACAGTTTAATAACAGATCCATTTTGAAAGAAAACCTTTCTGAGGTTTGCCCAAAACGCTTAGCAGTTGTAATTGGTACCCCACCTGACCACCTTAGGTCTCTTATTCACCTTCATCATTTCAACTGTTGGATTATTCTTCAAAATGTGGCTTCAAAGCAGTACTACAATTATGACAATCTAATAACACTGTATACAATGATATTCTTGAAACTTAATGAATGCTCCTTTTCTTCCATAGTGCCATAGTCCTGAGTGGGAGTCAAGTAAATCCGCCAGTATCTAAACAGTTGTTCATTTCTGTGTACCGAGTAGAAATGGACTGTACGATCAAGTCTGCTACTACTCTGATCAAAACTATACTTCTTTCTTGTGTTATTATGAGTTTTCATGTTCACATCAGGTGAGTGCCACTTCTTGATGAAGGTTTTGTTTTATCTGCTATATGCAATCAAAGTTATATGTCATAAGAAGATTTCCATAAATGTATGGTAATAATGATCTTTTCAAGAGATTGTGTTGACCGAATCTTTACTTCTAATACACGTTTTAACTAAAAGTCAATTATGGGAGCATAATTCAGTGATGTCCATTACTGTCCATTAGATAATTGCAAAATTGATCTAATGAACTGTTCATTCAAATTCAATATAGGATTTTCTATGGGGTAATTGCAATAAAGTTGTAATTCATCTTAACATGTTTCACTTCAACGCTGATGCATACAGATTTGAAATATAAAATCATATATAACCTTTTTGACGTTTTTCTTTTTTAGCAACCTAATCATTTTATGGAAGACCCTTGCCCAAGACTGTTGTTTTTTTGGGGGGAGTGGGGGGGCTAACAAAGGCGTTTTAACTTTCAGGTCACAATGTTAATCCAGCAATCTGCAACCTTTGCTGCCAATGCTACCTTTCACACATGTGCTGCTCCATCGCTCAGTTATAGAGGGGAGGCCCCCTTTACAATGAATGCACCACTTTCTAAAAACAATTGTGTTACTATTTCTGAAAGTACATCTGTCAGTACTATGTGCCCCAAAGGAATAATATGCAGACACATTCCCTCAGATGTCTCTTCCAGTGCCACAGGAAGCCCAAATTCTAGGTTTCTTAATTGCAAATATAAACTAACCCCCTGCCATCTTCTGCACATTTTCATTCACCAATAAGGCCCCCTATAATAGAGACTGGCCATTAAGGAGGCGCAAGAAGTGCAGCTTCTGACATTACTAAGACTTCATAATTCATGTCATAGTTGTCCAGCATTTGATGCTCCTGAGGCACTGAAGATGAAATCTGTAGGTATGTACAATCACAGCTATGTGCCTGCAGTTTAGTCCTAGGAAATGTTTAGAAGGATTATATTACTATCAGGTATACTAAATATTTAACACCAAGTAAAATAAATGCAGTGCCTTCCGAATGTAATGTAATTAACCATCCAGATCCAGTCGTGGTATATGAATCAGAGAGTCCAAATCATTGGCCTACACACAACATTTGGATTTTAAGTATTCCTCTCAGGATCCCCCCAGTTTTTCCTTATTCTGTTCTCATAAAAAAACTGGAGGAGTCTGATGAAGTCCATATAGCCATTGAGAGTGGGCAGCTGAAATTACTCTGGAGTTTCCTGATCTCAACACTCATAGATAAAACTTTGGTATGGAACAGTGAAATGACTCTACCCTTGTCAGGGCCTGGGAAAATGTAATGATCAATGGTGAACCTATCCTACCGGGAGACAGGCTATCTTTTCTCTGTATCATTAGCAATGAGGATTTGTTGTATCAAGTTTTTAAATATTATAAACGTATTGAGCAGTTGGTGATCCATACAGGAAGATGGTACTGGAGCTTGCACACAGGCAATTGTTGAGCAGTCATTTGAGGTTTGAGAGAAACCACTTAAACTGTTTTACAAAGATTTTACTAGCTTGGGGTACAAAAAGAATTGAGAATAATTGTAAATCCTGTAGAATTGTGTCAAATGTCTGCACTCCTGCCCTACTTTTCAGAGTCCCTAAGTGCTTCTGCTAATCATCGGAGTGCCCTTTGTGAGAATTGCCATGAACCTGCCTCTGGGTCCACTGCCTATGTCTGCCCAGGGCCATCAGCATATTCTAGTTGTTATGGAATATGCTAAGCATTACACTGAGGCTGTTCATCTAAGCAATACATCTACCAAGAATATCACCAAGGAATTTCTCCAGGTGTTCAGTTCAGCAGAGGTCCCTACCCTACTCATCACTAATCAAAGAGTAGTTTAAATTGTTTAAGTTGATGCATCTGCAAACCTCTGTGTGAACCACCTTCAAACTGATAGCTTGGTGGAATGATTTAAAACAACCTCAAAGCCCATTTCCACCTTTGGAGAGGTATTTAAAAAAATGTATTGCCAGAAATGTGCACACAAGTGTAATTGAACATATTTCACAAATACAGGATAGAATTGCTGTGGTAATATTAGTTGATTGTAAAAGAACATTTAGCTCAGGCCACCCAACAAATAATATACAACTGGAGTGCCCAATCCACCCTTACTTGCCTGGTGCCAGGCTCTGATGTTGATCACCACCATTAAGAGTAGTTCCCTGGCTAAGTGGCAGTGCCCTTTTGAAGTTATTGATAAAGCTGGGAAAGTACAGGTGAAACTCGAATAATTAGAATATCGTGCAAAGTTCATTTATTTCACTAATGCAACTTAAAAGGTGAAACTAATATATGAGATAGACTCATTACATGCAAAGCAAGATAATTCAAGCCGTGATTTGTCATAATTGTGATGATTATGGCTTACAGCTCATGAAAACCCCAAGAACCCCAAATCCACAATCTCAAAAAAGTAGATTATTACATGCAATCAATAAAACAAGGATTGTACATAGAACAATATCGGACCTCTGAAAAGTACAAGCATGCATATGTACTCAGTACTTGGTTTGGGCCCCTTTTGCAGGACTTACTGCAATTACTTTTGCACGATATTCTAATTATTCGAGTTTCACCTATATATTGCAAAGTACATCAACCAGGAAAAAGAAAGCTGAACAAATATACCATGTACATTTGCTAAAGCCCTGGAAAGACAGAGTCCCCTTAGCTGAAGAGTCCACACCAGTAGCCTTTCATGTGAGTCCCCTCTGGTTCCTGAAGTAAAAATCGCAATATGCTGTCTAGTTCCCAAAAGCAGGAAGCCACAGAATTCCTGATAAAAAACATTGACAATTTTTTTTCAGACTTACTTAGCCAGACTTCAATTGTACAACATGATATTATTACTGAATCTGGGGTTCACGTCAAACTCAAGCCCTACCAAATACCTGAAGCAAGGAAAAAGGCATAGATAAAATGCTTGAGCCAGGCATAACTGAAGATTCCTGTAGCGACTGGTCTAGTCCTATTATTTAGTCCTAAAGCCAAACGGTAGATGGAGGTTTTGTAATGACTTTAAGAGGGTCATTTTAAAGATAACTGATTTCTTTCCCTGGATAAATGAGCTAATAGACAGAGGACAGCCTGTTATCTGACAACTTTGGAGTTGAAAATGGATATGGGCAGATTCCCCCGACTTAAAGCAACAAGGAAAAGACTGTAATTGTAACCCCTGGGTGTCCATTCCAATATTAAAAAAATGCCTTTTGTGTTGCAAAATGTCTCTGTAAAGCAGGTTCCACTGACTATCCCAAAAAGTGTACCATTGGTTTAGAGAAAGCCAAGTATCTAGGTTACACTATTGGTCGTGAAGTCATAAAACCTCAGTTAATCAAAATAGAAGCCATCCACATCCATGGCCATGTCCCACAAACAAGAAACAGATCAGAGCTTTCCTTGGTATAACTGGTAACTATGAGGGCTCTATGAGTAAGCCAGATGGGGGAAATGGGTTAGAGGTTGGCGGATTATATGGGAGGAATGGACAGTGTGTCTTTTGTTGTTACTTAAATAAAGATTTTATCTCTGGTGAAGTGAAGTGCGGTATTTGCTTGGAAACTTGGAAGTTACTCACACTACCTGCACCTGGGACACAATCGAAGTGGGGAGTCAGGTTGAGAATAGGAGTGTATTTTGCTTGTCTTCGATTATATGGTAACTATAGGGAATTCATCACAAATGTTGCAACTCTTGAAGTCCCATTGACTGACCTTACCAAAGGAAAAAACGGTTATGGTAAAATGGACAAATACAAGGTGAACCGTTGGTTTCTGGCCTTACAGGATTACAGTTTCATAATGAAACATTGACTGGGTGAAAACACAGAAAAGGCAGATGCTCTGTCTCAAGTACACTCTTGTTTGGCTGGAAATGTTCCAACATTGGGGTTGAAACAAGGGGAGGGGGTATTTGGCAGAATGTTTAGCAGAAAGCCTGGAGGGGTTCTGTTTGGGGTTTACATATTGCCTAGGTTCTTGTCATCTACCTTCCAGGGCCTTTAATCCACCACAGAATTACACCTTTCCCTGAAAGGCAATATAGCATCAGGTAATAAACACAGGGAATGCTTTGCAGCCTGGGGAGCAGACATGTCAAGTTCGCTGAAGCTTACAAACTGTATATTTCTAAGGCTGACAAACAATAGACTTTCTCAGGGTGTAAGTTAGGGTAGTTGTGTGTAGTTAGTACCAGGACATGGCTATGTTTTTTTTGACGTTTTGTTTCATGTGTTCTTTACAGCACCTTTGTGTACAGTTCTACAAACCACCAAATAAACATATCACTCTTTTGCCAAGGCACTACTGGACAGTTTTTTCTCATCCAAAAGTTTTCATTACACCACTATGTATCCTCATGTGGTAGAGGACTTTGGAAAATTATAACAGTATCTGCTATTTAAATGGCAGAAATTGGCAGAAAATGGAGGAACTGGTAAAACAGTTGGTGTCCAGCTTTGCAGCAAACAAATGCTACAAAACAGCAAGGGAATGCTGCAGAGCAACAGGCAAATTCTCAGCATCAGGACATAATAAACGTTGTAAAGGAACAAGCACAGGCGCTGTACAAACAGATCAATGGTATTCAGGAGCAAATGCAGGTTGTAAATAGACTTAATAAACGCACCATTGTTTTGATACTAGTGGACTGTTTTTTTCTGGCTAAGAGGTTGCTCACCCCAAAGAGCAGCATTGTACCCCCTTCATATTCCGAGAGAGAGAGGGAGAGAGCGCAAGTGCGAGAGATACAGAGAGATAGATAGAGAGAGAGAGAGAGATTCTTATGTTCTTTAAAGATCTGACATCACCTGATCATGAATTAAAATAATGCTATCAATACTTGTACACTAAAGTGAAGTCTGCTTGGCTGTGGATGGGTTTGCACACCATCTTTGCTCTCTTTATACTGATTAAATAAGTAATGTGCATGTGTTGCTTTCATGTGATGTAGTTGTTGTTTATTATGCTTTA